TGATTTTTTTTAAAGTTTTTTTTTGTACTGTACGGTATATCTTTACTCTTGTATCATCATTACGAATGTTATGTTGCATTTTCACACCTACACACAATGATTAATGGTTTTTACAATTTTCATCAGCCATGTCCTCATCCCCCGTACTGTACGTTCCAGTATTTCCCCTTTTTTTGCAAATCATAACGTTTCGAGTTTTAAGGCTATTTATATTAGTCATGATGCAGGCTATAATACAGTCACTTTATGGAACCCAAAGGAAAAATAATTGATTTAATTTGTAAATGAGAAACCACTAAATTTTACCACAAACGGTATATCTTTACCTTTGTATCATAATTACGAATGTTATGTCATATTTTCACACTTACAGACAATGATTATGGTTTTTACAATTTACTCAATTTTTTGACATCAACCATGTATTTTTCCCCTCATCCCCGTACGCATTATTTTTGCAGCACTTCCTCTTTTCGCAATGGAGCTAATGAATCATTACACTTCAAATTACGTTAAGCTAAACAATTAAGCTAAAAATGGATTTAAAAGAGAATTGGATTGGATTATTTACATTTTTATATACAATTTTAAAACATTTCTAGGTCGTGTTTTTGAACTGAATAACCTTGTGGCGTATTTTCGTTTTGTATTTATGTTTCGCGACTGGCCACACTTACAGGAAGAATATTGAGCAAGGACACGCTGTTCAATAATGGCATAGTCCGTCACATCCGACGTCAAGGAAAGTCCACGCATCTTCTATAACTTGTCATCTCGACATTGTTTACGGACGTGACACGACATTTCAAATAACTTGTCAAAACAATTGATCTTGCCCTACTTGATTTTATATCACTTTGTGACAATCATTGGTCATTGCCAATAATAATAATACAATATAGTTACAAGAACGTCTAGGATTATACATCATTATTATACAACAGATGCAAACAACGGGTTAAAAAGCCTAAATAAAACAATTGTCAATTGTTAGGCCTACAGCACATCGTAAACACAATAGGAACTTTAAATATTACGATTCAGAATATAGTGTGCGTAGTGAAGATTGGTGAGCATTAACTGGCACACAAATCTGAGCCTGAATAGCGCCAAGAAACCATACACGTTTTAGCGTTCAACGGAAGCTGTAGTTATGAAGGACAGATCCCGGCTGAAGTTCAGAAGTAAACGTGCTTGTTTAAATACAGCGATTCAAATAATCAAGGTTTTGATAATGTAAATCCACAGAATTATTTTATTTTGTAAAAGATACACTAACTAGATCATACAAGGATAATACACACAAACCCATTTTTAGCGTAGGCCTATTATTATTGATTGTTTACTTGCAAAGGCGTTACAATTAACAAATTGTCAAAAAAACAACTGAAACCTCAATCTAACGAACCTTCAACAACGATGAACGCCAGATGATTAAAGTGGTCATAAGAAAATCTGCTACTTAAAAAGTAGATAATTAAACATAGGCTTATGTATTGTTTTAAAACACTCAAAACCATTGTAAATATAAATCTTAGTTCAGCTTGAAAAGCCATCGATGTCTGTGCTTAACTTACACATACAGTGGTCTATAAGCAGTTCAAAATTTGTTGTTGGGCCTGAAAAATACCTCTGGCGCGCGACAAACGCAAGAGTTCATGTTCTTTGTTAGTCTTTTGCACCAAGTCGTCATTTGCCAATTTTGTTTCTTTTTTTTTTTCTTCATCAAGTCAATATTGGTTTTATTTATTTATTTATTTTTTATTTAATTGCTTAAGAATTTTGAGGTTCCATGTGTAAACTTTTGCCTTATTTTTCAAAAAGGTTATCTTTTTCTTATAATTATATAACGATAATACGTACTTTGTGGGCGTCGACAAAGCGCGTAGGTTTGGTGTGAATTTCTATGGTTATAACGCAGTAGACGCGTCCGCGTTATACGCGTCGCTGCTAGTAACTATACTGCAATATCAAAACATTGTGAAGTGTTATGTTTATTCTTGGTGCAAGCCGCGAACGCTGAACACTAACTATTATTCCGAAGCAAAAGTGTAAGTTGGTTTAAGGATATTATGCAGCATGCTAGTTTGAAATTGTATGGTTTACTAAGGCCAAGCATGTAAAGCTAGGCCTACTAGAAATCATTTAGAAAGATCTGGAATCAAAGCGCCATATCGCTTGAATTAGCGTTCCACATGTCACACTGAACTAAAAGCCTCGATCGACTTTTGTAGTCATTTATATATAAACCATGTCTACTGTAATTTGTAATACAACTGATGGTAGAAGTAAACATTCATGTGAATTGATTGTTATTGTTTTGAAAATGCGGTTAACTTCAAAGTGTAGGGCCTAGTTAGTAAAATCGATTAATTTATTCTACGTCCTAATAATGTAGAGTGGGGGCGTGTACATTTCTTGTGTAAATCATTTACTACATTCATTAATAATATTATGCTTCAACTTGTTTCTACGCAACAAACGATGTGCTCGTTATAGTCGATAATTACTATTGTTTCATTTTCAGATAACTTATAGAATTTTATAATGTCTATGAAATTGGATGATCCGACAACACACGGTTGGTCTATATACGATCATATCGAAGAGTATAAAGGAAAACTTGGTCTGAAAGGTAAACAAAAATCATGATATTGTTCACCAACATTTAGTTACACTTGTGGCTGTCAACCATGTTTACATCGTATTGGTGAATAATATTCATGCAATGGATATAATAATAATATTAATAATAATAATAATAATAATAATAATAATAATAATAATAATAATAATAATAAAATAATAATTAACATTATCATGTACAAAATTCATATAGCTTTTATTAATTCTATTTATAAAATAACTTATAACATTATAGATTCCTGTTATAATTAATATTATTTAAAATTAATTTTATAATTAATATTGCTATTGAACTATCTTTACTTTTATATTTATGCTTATTTTATTATTAAAGAAAGGGATCACCGAGCATACTATGAGAGTTCTCAATTCAACAAGAAAATGAATGAGGAGGAGATTTCGATTCTTCGTCGCAATCTTAAAATGAAAAGGGTTGATCTCTCTGAACACACTCTCAATGTGAGTATAAAAGATATATTATCTGTCATAGTGCTATTTAGACTTAGTTAAAACACTCAAAAGATAAAAGGTTAACTCTGTTCTTTAACGGTGTGATCATTGCACTCGGAACCATGACAGCCGCAAATGTCTCTTCCGAAAAACGGTGTGCTTTTTCATGTTTTTATGTTTGAAACTCGTGTCTTGTTTTGTACAGTATATGCCTATTATGCCTGTCTATTTTTAAAGGGAGATAAACGAGTTATTGTTAATGCTTTCACGGGTCGGAAAAAGGATCAACTCGCCTTCCGAAGAAAAACAGCCGAGGTAAGACGAATTTTTCATTGTGCAGAATAAATCTATACATAATAACAACAATATAAATAACATTAATTAAAAGAGTGGTGTGATATTTTTTCCATTTGAAAATAAAACATAGGTTTTCATTTCAAATGTTGAGCAAATTCGAAATTCAAAAATAATTATGTTAATAGGTCTATAACAATCCCAACTTTATCACGTATTACTATACAATAATGTCGTTTTTAGACTGCTGTAGCTGAGATGGATCAAAAAACATGCGAGAAAGTGAAGTTGTTAAACGCGTTAACTTACGAACGTTGTCAGAAAGAGAAACGCGTTCAGGAGTTACAAGCTGTACTTGAAAGATCCCAGACGCAGGCTGACAACGAGGAGGATATGTTCGAGAAAAATGAATTAAAGGTAATTTTGTTCTCGTTCTCATGTGTATATTTATTTTAGTTAAATTAAATAAAAGAAGATAATCATTATCATCTTTCAATATTATATTATTATTATCATCATCATTGTTTAATTATTATTAAATTCAAGACAGTATCAGTAGATGTTATTACAGATTGCTAATGACGTTCCTTCGATGTTTTTACGTATAGGCCTAATAGGCCTATTTAATTGTGTCCCCACATTATATCTATTTATCGTTAAAGTCTATCCGCATCATCGAAAACAACTTGGAAAAGGCTGACATGAAGTATCGAACAGCAAAAAAAATCCAAGTGAACTACAAAGAGATTGTCAAGTGTCTAGAAGAGGTATTTATGTCATATTAGACGAATTCCTGTCTATATTATTTCTAGTGGATTTTTTCTCGAAATTTACAGGCCGGTATTTTATTCTAATCAGGTCTATAATAAAGAACTATAGCATTTATAGGCCTATACGTACATTTTCTATTAGTAGGTTTAATCATTGCCACATTACCTACAACTGGTATATTTATTAAGATTTCCCAACATCACCACTTTAAATATTGGTCGATTTGTTGCAGGCATAACTTGTGATATCTCTTGCATGTAGTGTGATATCTCTTGCATTACATGCATGGTACGTCGGTCACTGTATTGTGTTTTGTTGTGTCGCATTTAGTTTTCTAATAAGAAAGACAATTTTCAGTGTTATTATTTTGCAAAAGATGTGATCTTAAAACATAAATCATAAAACATGTAAACAAGCTTTAAAGAATGTCATCATTGCATCGCTTCCGTTTAAACATACCGTAGGCCCACTGACAACAATATTCATTGCCACGTTTCTGGTTCACAGGAAAGTTTGACGTTTCCAAGGAAACTAAGGGCGCTGGAGAAAGCGTTGCAACATCAAATCAAGGAACTGGAAGAACTTAAAAATATCAACAAAGATGCTCACCTAAAAAAGGATGTTGCTAGGGTAACTGAACGATATTTATGTCGTCATAATGAATAACAAATACGTACAGTGTACTATCCTTATTGCATTGAATCAATTAATTAGGCATAAAAGTACTTCTACGAATAGAGGCCTAAGCCTTCCATTATTATTTATATTAATAATAATGAGAAAACCATTATATCCAATGAAAATTATTAAGGCTAATAGAAAATTAATGTTTGTTTCACCAAAAAGGCTGAGCTTAGTGAAATCGAACAACAAATTATGGAGGCCAGACGATCACGCGAGAAGAAACTTTCTCAGACGAAGAAGAAGGCAGAAAAACAAAAAGAAATTGCCGACAAAGTTGATCGACGTGCCAGAGCTTTTCTGCAGACGGATGAGGCAATCATCGGTAGGCATTAAGACCTAAGCATACATGGCCTCGGATATACAGTAATATCATTCTATATGATATGATATAATATGATATTTTTGCATTGTTAAATGGAAATAAGTAATAATTAAACTAAAACGTTTGCGCAGATCCACAGCAGAAAGCGAAACAAGACGAAAGTAGCTGGGTCAGAATCACCAGCTACGACGATGCTTTCCAGCGAATCAAGGACGCCACTGGTGTGTCGGACACCAATGAGATACTGCAGAGGTTCCAGGGACAAAACCATACCATGGACCATCTGGAGAAGCAGAAGGTATCAGTCGAAAAACAGAAGAACTGGCTGCAAGAGCAGAAGAGTCAGCAGCAGAAGCAGTATGAAGCTATGAAATACAGTGGAGAAAGCAATATGTCCCAGTAAGTGATGGTCGATATAAACTTGGTTTGATGAGGAGAGTGTTGAAAATTGTGATTATTTAATACATCCAGTTAGATATATGCCTATCAAATTAAAGTTGATGACAATGACAACGATCTCTTAAGGACGGTCAGAGCAATCTCACCAAAAACCATATCCTTACACATGTGTACCGAAAGTTTGATTATGGTGTGATGAAATAAATGAAGATAGTGATGAGGATAATGATGATGGCACGACGACGATGATGATAAAGACGATAGTTTTTTTGTTTTTTGTTTTTTTGTTTTTGTTATAGATGTGTTTTATACATTTCAGGGGTGAACAGATGCTGGAGAAGATGCATGACCACCTGAAACATCAGACGGAGAGGGCGGCTTCCCTCAAAACGCAAGTCGATAACGCTACGCGTACCACAGTAGACGTAACGAGTGGCATCGAGCATCTCTATGAAACGCTGAAAGACGTCAAACTAAAACCAGTGAGTCGGCCTATAGAAGGCCTAATAGTGGTGTAGGAGTGATCAAACAAGTTTAAGTTTGAAAGAAACGCAGACAGTTTTATAGAGCTCTACTTTATTATTATTATTATTATTATTATTATTATTATTATTATTATTATTATTATTTTATTATTATTATTTTATTATTATTATTACTATTATTTATACCAGGAATCCACGGAATTATGATGTTCAACGCTTAGATAACCATAGTACCATTATAGATCATATTCGGGATCATATTATTTATGGTAGCAGTAAACTTAAACATTATTTTAATTACTTTGTTTTTGTTGAACCTTTCCCATGAATCGTTGTAGCCGATGCGAAACAACGCCTTCAGCGGTGACTCAATCGATCAGCTAAGTGTTTCAACGAAAAAGCTCATCAATCTCATGTCGATGATTACGAAACCAAAAGATATCAAAATTCGACAGACTACTGAAGTAAGCAAACTTTTGAAACATTAAATTTCGGGGTTAAATCATAACAATATGTAAGGCACATTACATTAGCCAGTGTCTAATGTAATGTATGGGTATCTTAATAGAAAATATTTTTGGGTAAATCTTACAGTATTAATTCAATCATTTATTCGTTCATTAATTATATGATACACAAGGCTTAATTTTGATCCCAGAAAAAGGCATGACCTTGCATGAGCTAGAATAGTTGTATGACAATTTCAAACTGATATTAGGATCTGATGTTTTTTTTATTTTGTAGTTTAGCGAATTCATGGAGAATCGTCTGCCAAATGAAAATCTACGCATTCGTCTACAGGATACAGTATCTTACCCTGATGGTAAGGTGGCTTTGGAGAAATATTACAATTGTCAGACTAAAAACGTAGTCCTTCACTTATCTTTTATGCTACAAACTTATGCCATTATTATTATTATTATTATTATTATTATTATTATTATTATTATTATTATTATTATTATTATTATTATTATTATTATTAACAACAACAACAACAACAACAACAACAATAATAATAATAATAATAATAATAATAAGGCAACCAAGTCTATAACAATTAACATGGTTTTCCTTTGTGGTTTTCTGTAGATGAATTCGGTTACGACAGTCAGGATAATGAAGATATGCTGACAAACAACGACATTAAATTACAAGCACAGTTATTGATGGACCAGAAAAAGTTCAAGAAACGCACAAGACGAGGAAAAAGACGCTAAAATAACAACACTATCTTCCTTTATAATAGTTATTATGGTCAATTTAAAAAAAGTGTATCTAATTAAAACTATATAATTTGAAAAAATAGACAAAGTTACATTATTGAAAACTAATCATAAATAAAATGTAAAGTGTATATCTAAGATCTTTTTTCGCATTATTCTATATAGTCCTACTGTAATTATTTTATAGGCCTACAATCACAAAACATACCCTAGGTGGTAGAGGTTATACCTCCTTGCTTTATCTTCTTTATTTTCCTGTTTTCAGTTCACGGCTACTTCAAGCAGTGTGGGATCCAAGGGGGCCCAGCCGGCCCAGGCCCCCTAAATTTTTCATAATGAAAAAAAATAGAGAAAATAGAAAATTCTACTTAAATGTTGAGTCTAAGAGCGCCATTTCCGGCCATCTTACCTATTAAGTATAGACCCTCCACCTGTGACAAGTCCCTCTCTGGTCCCCCTCTAGGCCTATATCAAATTCCTGGATCCGCCACTGTCAAGTAAAGTTTACACCCTTGAGGTTTCCTCATCTGTACTGTTTACAATTTATAAATAAATAAATTTATCAACGTTACTGCAAAGTGTGTTCGATAGTTACTTTGCAGATAAATCATTCGCAGAGAATGTTAATCTCAATGGAAGCATTACTTAGGCCTAATTATGATAATATAAAAAAAAAATATTTTAAAAACGTTTTAAATACATAGCTTTGGCAACCCCACGCCCCCCTCCACCAAAAAGGAGAATATTGTAAACCGGTTGCTTACTTACAGGATTTATTTTATTTTTATTTTTATGTAATTGTCAAAATTTAAAATTTAGTCGGGCTGCTTATGGCTAGAAATTTAATTAGAAACTGATAGTAATAATAATAATAATAAAATAATAATGAATTATAAAAAAAATGTAATAACAAGTAGAAAATTAAAAAAAAGAATAGAATACCACACTGATACTCAAATGCAAAACTGAGCTGGAGTGGCAGAGCCTTCTAAATGAAGTTAGCTCCTTATTAAGAATAAAAAGTCAATGTCAATAACCTTTCCATGTCGGCTTTATATACTGGTAGTCTTATTTTATTGTTGTTTTATCTCATGTCTTCATTAATTTTCGTTTAGTGTTGATTCGTCCGATTGTATTTTATAGAGCCTGTAAATCTCCGAAATGTGCACATTTTATTAGCATTTAAATGAATTAGCGAAACTTGACGCGTTTTATACATCCAATTTGATTGAACAGCTTCTACAGACTTCCTTACAGGTTTGCCAACCGAATGATATCATGTCAATAAGATTGGTTCACATAAAAACTAATCAGTTAATATTAAAGCTAGAATTCATTGTATAACATTGATGTGTGTAATGGGAATATCGGATGGATTGTTCTAATAGGCCATGCCTCCTCTAAATTCATCTACCTACTATTATGTGTTCAAGAGAACACCGCCAAGTCTACTATTAATTTAACAAGCGAATAAGCCGCAAGTATCCCTACATGAAATCATTGGCGGATCTGGAGAGGGTCTGTGGGTCCTGACCCTCCTCCCCACCCCCTCCCCCACTTTAAAAAAAATTAAAAAATAAATTAATAATTCTAGACCTACCTTTGCAGGACCTGTGAGCTGAAATTGTTTTTGTTACAATGGGAAAATTAGAAGTCGGGAGAGCTCATTTCCCGCCATCTAGGAGCCAACATTTTCCCGGGGGAGGACCCTCGATCCCTTTCCTTTTGGGTTCATCGATTCATGAAAAAAGAATACTTGTGCAACTACTCTTTTTTTTATGTAGGCCCCTATGTATATATACATACATAATAGGCCTGTTTACTGTAATAAAAATGAGAAACATATGCCTGCCCGTTTTTAAGAGGGGAAAACCTTGAATTTGAAGAACTTAAAAGTCATTAAATTACACTTCAGAAGCCGGAAAAGCTCATTTCCCGCCATGCCATCTAGGAATCAACATTTTCACGGGGAGGACCCCACCCTTTCTCTTTGGGGTTCATCGATGCACTGAATCGTTTTCAAGAGGGGAAACCTAGCTATAATTATGAATTCAATGTAATTAAAAGACACCTCAGAAATCGGAAAAGCTCATTTCCCGCCATCTAGAAAATTTTCCCCACCCCCTCCCCGTTCTCTTTGGGGTTCATCGATTCATGGAAAAAAAATACGTATATGCAACTAATCATATTTTTTACACATAGGCCTATTTACTGTAATAAGAATGAGAAAAATTTACCTGACCGTTTTGAAGAGGGATAAAACATTGAATTTTGAAGAAATTAAGTCATTAAAAGACACTTCAGAAGTCGGAAAAGCTCATTTCCCGCCATCTAAGAATCAACATTTTCACAGGCCAGAACCCCGGCGGTGGGTGTTAGGATCATTTTTACAACCTCCTAAATTTGAACCCAGATCCGCCCCTGTTAAATAGTATATACTAAATTATAAACGTTTTTAAGTGACAAAATAGTATATCTGTATATGGATCTGTTAATTGATTGATAATTAGGCTTAATAATAAGAATAATTGCTATTGAAAACAAAATAGCGATGAATATCATCCTTCTGAGATACAAACTTACAATATAGAGTAACTCATAGCATAGTACATTCAACCCTGTTCAACCTTTCAGAAACAACTCGCCCCCTATTGCTTCATCGAATCAACTAAAAAAAAAAAAAAAAAAAAAGCAGGACTAAACACCAATTATAAAAGAAGTTAAAAACATGATTCAGTTTAATAGACCAAAGAGTATATAAAAATAACTCTTTGGTTAGACCTACATTGGCATCGGGGCACTGATGAATCATGTTGTTTGCGTCGTACCAGTCAATGCGTTTCAACATCACGTTGAAAACGCAAAAATTACAGGGAAAAAATTTCATGATTTGAAATGCCGGAATAAGTGTCTACACCGCCGACGACCGCGACTTGGCCGCCGCGAAATTCGAATGGGGACAAAGATCAAACGAGCCTAGGCTGCTGTAGCCTAGGGCATACTATACTGATAACTGAGATTGTATTCAAAAGAACACAGAGTCAACGTTTAGGATACAACAGAGTGACATGTCTACTCCTATTCAAGGTGGATCTAGGTGTTTAAAACGACGGTCTCTTGGGCTAAGCCGAAAATGGTCATCACCCACCGCACCTGCTGAGCACAAGAGCTCAATTGTTGGGCTAGCATTCGGACAAGGCCCAAGCCCCTTGAACAGTTCTCATCAAGAAAAATCCTCGCCTGTTTTTAACAGTCGGTCTCCAAGATCAGCCTTGCCTCTTGACCTTAAATCTAAAACTACACCAAGTAGGTAAGTAGTGTATTGCGTGTGTATTGTTTCGATGATTGTTTAGCGAACCTGCCGCCCGCCAATATTATGGTGATTTCAAATAAAAATAACATTTTATTTTTGGCCAGTTAGCACACCCCTCCCCCACCCCACGCCCACGGAAAAAATGGAAATTCTCGAGAGAAAAATAAAGTTTTTCTTTATTTTTATTACACCGGCCGCTGCTTTGAAATAAGATATAGGCCTAGGCCTATTTCTTCCTAATTATAATATAAATTTTAAACATTTAACCATCCCATTTCTACACTGTTTACGTTCACCAGTAAAATTTTAGTTTTTATTTTCTCCTCCGTCTTGATGTTTTTGGCAAAATTGCTAAATGAAAACCAACGATTTTTTAAAAATTTTTATTCCGACCTCTTCTGACGATCTTTAAAAAAATAAGTTTGCGAAACAAGGTATAAAAAAAGTCTTGCCTTTACTGTACATAGAAGTCCATCTTTTAAAAAAATAAAATGTATATTAATTATTATTATATAGCGAAAGGTCTGGGTTACAAAATATCTGACTATCTCATACGAGAGACAGTTAAAAACAGACCAGCACAAAAATGCTTATGCTTTGTTTTGTTCATTTTATAAGAAAATATATGAAGTCTGGAAATCAATTTTCAGAATTTATTTTTTCTATATTTGTGCATGGCCAGCTTCTAATCAATTAATAGCCTACTACTGTAAATTACATCTCTTGTCTTGCAATGATGCTGTGAGACTTGCACACTTTTCCTGTTGCAATTTCTGGATACAACCCTGCTATGGAAAATTAAAAGATTGTTAGATCAATCATGACTCCCCTGAGCCTGATAGCAACAAGATGTACTGTAAAAGCATTTTATTTTGGAACATTAAAAGAATGACCCTACTGTATAAAATTTATAATTAACATTCCACAGTGTAACATAACAACATGGAAAACAACAATTTCTCAGTTTATAAACTTATCCTGCTTGGACACGAAATTGGGCCAATACGTGAAGTCTACAGTCGAACTCACCATGAGACCATCCTACAATGTACAGTAAGCGTAGCAAAGTAGACAAAGTTGGTGGGTGGGGGGGGGTGTTACAGAACATTTTGCATTAAAAGTTCCAAAAGTTTGGGTGTACAGTAACTGTATAATGTATAGTTATATTTAAACCTATATTTACACAGGCATTTGAGGCATGTTGTGGCAAAATGGCTAAGTTGTAGCAAAAATTGAAATTCAAGTCATTGGTATTTTCAGATACCTGAGTATGTGATCTTTAAAATGAGGGGTCATTCATTGAAATTTGATATTTTAAGCCTAAGTTATTGGAAAGTGAAAGTAGAGCACTCTTTGAGTCAAGATAAACATGATTTTGAGTAATTGCCTTCCAAAGTTATTTGGGCATACATTGATTAATAGAATTAACTATGTAACATTAAATAAACAATTTGTTGACCACTTCAGAACTAATACTTTGGGACATGATTAATAAAACATTAAACTGTTGATTTATAGTGAAAAAAATATTTGGATTTTTAGGGAATTTTTTCAGCTACCATATTTGATAGCTCATTTACTCAATACTGGCCTGTGCGACAACTTAACCATTTCGCTACGACATGCCTCATTTTATTGTAAACCGTTGTCAATTAATACATTAAAGTTACTATAAACATCCAATAAAACTTGATGAATGCCTTGTGTTAGTAGATCCCTTCATTCAACTCAATCACAGCAATCGACCTGTTCCTCTCCCTGCATCTAAATAACCTTTTAAGGTATTTACGATATTGCTTAAAGCGTATAATATAGACGATCGGGTTGCACATTGAACTTGCAAAAACAAGTATCGTTGAGACACGGTAATAAGAACATTGCCATTTACAGGTTTCTATCACATGACATGCAATTCCTAAATTATACGGTAGCCATCCTGCGATGTAGATTGCCATGATGATGAACAGTGTGAACGCAGCCTTAAGATCTTTGATTGTTTTATTTGATTTCATTTGATTACTCTTGCGTGATTTCAGCATTATAAATCGCGAGCTGCGACGACGTTCACCTTGTTCTCTGTTTTCGACCCTGCTATTACAACTTAATTCAGAGATTTCTACTTGAAAGCTGCTTTCTGTGTTTCGCCGGTTAACAGCTGTCTCTATATCATGGATCTGTTTTAGTTGCTTCCTTGCAATTTTATATATTGAAAGGTAACAAAATGTAATTATGATCAGTGGTATCATAAAGCAAAATAAAGAAAGTAGGCTTGAGAATATTTTTAAATATGCAAAGTCTAGAATACAGACATAATTATCTTGAAAGAATACATAATTTTGGTCACTAATCCCAAAGGGGATTATTGACCAAATAAAAGAGTATGTCCAGGTAAAGATTAACGCCAAAGTCATTTTCTGTCTTGTCACAATTTTGTGATAGTAAAGTGGTTGAGTTATTGCATAGTAACGTTCTATGGAGATTGCAGTCAGGGTAGAGATACTGGCGAGACAGAAGGTGAAGTTGAGCACACCACTAATTTTGCAAAGAACAGTTGCGCTATTTAATTCATCAATCGAGGTGGACAGACTGTTAAGAAAAGCGAAAGGCGTCACAAATATTCCTACGCCGCAGTCTGCTATCGACAGATTTAACAGTAGCACTGATGTCCTAGTATGCAGATTGCGAAATTTCCGAATGAGAATAATAACCAGTAGGTTCCCAATAATGGTTGGCAATATCAGTAAAGCAATAAGGGTCGACTGAAGTATTGGTACCTTTGGATAGTCTTCAAGAGAATAGCTGCAGCGAAGACAGCTGTTGTATGCTACCATTTCTATCACTTTTCCATATATTCTGAAAGAAATAATATATTAACTTTCAGGTCAATCGAACAAAGAGTGACCGTGAATCATTTTCATTCACACTAAAAACTATAGTACATCAGTTTATTATTTTTTCCTTCATAACCCTTAAATGACTACAAAAATATATACAACTTTTATTTAGTATACTTTATAGAGATTCTCTAATATACTGTACTATATTCTGTAGATGTATTTTAGAAATTCTTCTGAACTTCTTTATCGCAATAGTTTGTAAATGTTCTTAAAAGATTGTGTTTATTCATCCTCTTAAAATTGTTTGATATTGATTTCCAAATACTAATAGAGTTGTATAAACACATTCTTAAAAGATGTTAATACAAAGGTTAATTCTTCCAAACCTACAAGTTACACACACCTATATTCGACAGTGTCTGGTCTGTTTGACCAATGCTGTGGAGGTTCGTCACTTGTCCTACAAGTTTGTTTATCTTCCCAGTGAATGCTGGTACCTATATTACTTCTAGTAGTTAGGTGTGTTGCCCAAGAACACAGGCCACTTTTCCAACCACAATGCTGAGAATCTGAACAATGCCCCCACCCCCATAAAATACACTGTAAATCCTGTCTCTTAAACCCCCCCCAAAAATATCACGCTCAAGTAATTAAAAATCACCTCAAATACCTTAAATTTGCAAGCTAGGAGCCCCAACTTCCCCTTTGCGTCCCCCATCATCCCCTTCCTCCTGCCATTTCAAGACTCCTGATACACCACTAAATCTGACACACTAGTGTTTCGCCAAACTCTTCCATATACTACTTGTAGTCTTTACCGACCACGGAATGCGGTAGGCAAGGGCTCGCACTAACCGCTATCAAGATTCTTTATTTCTAGAGGAATCAGAAACTTTAATGAAAATCTCCTAAAGATAGGAACTCAAATTATAGAATTATAGAATGAATTATAGAATTATTTAAATTAAAATTTAACGTAATTAAAAATTCAAAATATTTGTATCATGTCTTTGAGAATGAGAAACATCTTTTGTCAACCATGTAATTTCCGATGAAAAGGGTGAAATAAAGTTTATCTGTATCTGTAGCCATGTCCATCAATTGTCTACTTACTTTTATGAATGACACCTAAAGCAAATCCACCAATATTCCCTAATTACTATATAGACATTGAAGTTCATTACTTTCCATCTCAAGGGATTTGTCTTAACATAGTTACCACACAACTGTAGCACTAACAACAGTGGTATTGTTGATACATAAACAGAGCAGCAGAAACCATTTAATATTACTAATTGATTCGTGGCTTGTAAAGTTATTAATTTCCTTTTATTAATAGAAGTTGGCAGACTAAGCAGTACCACGACAGTGCAATTCCTTTCCTAAACCAGGTGCCTCAATGATATTATTCATGACTTTTGAAATCCCCCTATCTCTCAAATATTGACTCCAGTTTTAATCTAATAATAATAATAATGACAATGATAATAGCGATGAAAATAAAAATAATTTTGTCACTGATATCATTAATTATAATAATAACAATAATAACTGAATAGGCCTATTCAATTTTAATTACAAAATAATAAACAATATAACACTGTACTTTTGATCCAATCCTGTAATGTTTTTACTTACATTTTTTCTGTTTTTATTTCCTAATCTGCTTCTTGTTTTTTGAATCATTTTGTACCGTTTGAAAATGTCTATTTATCTTTGCTGTCATTTATTTGTATTGTTTAACTGTTATTTTTGAATTGTTAATGCTGTTTCTGTTAGGTCTTTTTTTTTCTATTTTAATAAATTTTTATAAATTTTAAACTGTAAATCACAAGCAATTCAGTCGTGTTACTGCCATTTGTGATCTGAATAAATTGAAATGAAATGAATTACAGACCAAAACAGAATTGTGTGCATCAAATTAAGCAAGACAGTATGACAAGACTTGACTGGCAGTACTGTAGAAAAGTAAACCTTTAAAAACAATAATTGTGATGTGTCACTCACACACAAAAATCTCTTACTGTAGCATTCGCTTACAAGACAACCAATGTTATAAAGATCCCCTGTTTGTCTATAGCTAATAAATTATGAAATAAGTTTAATAAAATTTAAAATGCTTAAAGAAAACTCATTTAAACACATCTCCCGCAGGTGATTCCTTCCACCTTGGGACCCCTGACTTGATATTGTGTTTTGGATATTTTAGACCATTGCACAGGATGGTTATAACCTATTATTATTTTTACTTATTAATATGTTAATTTTAATTAATAGTCACCCACTAAACAGCAATATTAGTTTTAGCCGATATCAGACCAACAAAGCAAATAGGCATAGAATCTCCTTTCTTGCTAGTGCTATCCATTTGGCAAATGTTATATTCAATAGGCAATTTTTTATTTTTTTTTTTAATTTACAGTAACTCATTCATTGTTTATAACAATGTATAGTGTAAATACAAACATTCACGTTGTGTTTTGTGATTACTAATAACCCAGGTATAAACATATCATTTTCATTTCATTTCATTTATTTAGCCCAAAAAAATTACAATATAAAAGGATAAAACAGTCAAAAAGAACAAAAAAGATACAATAAATGTTGGTCTCTGATTCCCCACAAGGGCCAGCAAGATAACCAAAAAGTAAAATAAATTACTGTCAATGTGAGTCTCCATCCGATGTGGGGAATCAGAGAACAGCAAAACACATAGAGAATGTAATAAAAATATAAATTACAATTTATCGTATATATATGACAAATAAAATGAATCTGAGTCCTCCTATTTTTCATATCTGTATTGTTATGCTATGAAATGAATTTTTGGAATAAAGTTAATTTAATTGAATTGAGTAGTCTTTTTATGTTCACTGCCTCAGACACTCTCATTCAGCTGTGTATCCAGTAATGTAAAAAAAAAAAAATTTTGACAACTCCATCTCCTTTAATATTGATATGGGTTCAATTCAATTCAAATTTATTTCGGGTTAAAAATACAATCAAAATAACAATTAAAAGACAATAAAAACAGAAACAAAAACAAAGAGTGCTGCCAACCCAGGATAAACAAAAGTACACAAAAATGCCACTATCATGTGGCTCTCCAAGGTAGCACTCAACACACAGAAAACAACACAAAAGATTTAATAGATATCATTTAGAAAAATATAATAATAAAAGATTGTAATAAAAAATATTATTGCAAGGGATCTCATAATCTGTTGTACTGGTTTCTTTTATACTGTTGTTTATACTGTTGTCATATTTGTTGGTGGTTTGTTTCTCCATTCTGATGGAAGAATACCACTTGGTAAATGACTCCATATTGTTGACTAAAGTTTATATTTATGTTCTTATGAAATTATTAACCATTGGCTTAATCGAACAATGTGGGAGGTAAATAGCTTTTAGATAAAAGTGACTTAAGTCTACATGACCAAACCTTCAGTCTACACAATATCTATAAGCAGAGCTGTCAGTAGATACAAAAAAACTTATCAGCACACTGAACAGTACAGAAGCACGTAGTTTTGTGTTTCAAACTAAATATGTTTTTAACTTTGTAAACATACACAGATATATAGTTTTTAATTCTCATGTATATTTAATGTACAGTATATAATATGCTTACCTAAAACAAGAATTGTGAACCAGTCCGTGTTGTTACATAGATAAATTCATTGCCTTAGATTCTGCCGAGTTAATTCAGTAGTTAGTAGCGTACCTGTGTCGAGCAATTGAGTCAACTACGGACATAATCAAACCTCAGGATAGGACTTTATCATATCAAGTAGTTAATTACAAAATATGTGTTCTGCTATCACTGCCTTTTAAATGACTGCTTCTGATTGGTCAAATTTTATTCTACGTGGTATCCTCTTGTGCAGTGCCTGGTTACAATAGAAAGTCTACAATCTGTGATTGATATGTTTTCTAAAAAACTATATTCCTTTTGAGCTTGAAACAACAATGAACATAATTTTGTTAACTAATTGGGATTGAATTATTATTTTTTAAATATATAACAACCATCATTAATTATTATAATTTATTCATGATAAATAAAGAAATGGCAACATTCATGTTCAGATGAAGACCTCACACACAGGCTGGCAAAGAAAGTGAATGCACTATGTCGGAAGACAAAAGGCATTGAAAATTTTTTATTTATAATAAATATCCAATAAATATTATTTAAATGGTCTAATAGAATGGTGACAGATGTTTTTTATATAAATTAACTTTTATTAAAATCTAGTAAAAATTCTATCTTTGATTCGCTTGGTTGCTTTCTAGCTTGTTTTAATTCAGTGGTCATTTGTAATTTGCAGCTAAAGAAAAACTAGAAAATATAGTAAAACAAGTAATAAACAAAGATTATGCTTTTAAGGCATTATTGACTATTAAATCAATATTTACTTGAGACTGACCTTGTGTGCTTTGTACTGATCTGTCCACTGTTGGTTATCAGATGAATTAATTTTCTCTGATAACATTTTTGGTCAGTAAGATCATGCTTAGCAACAGTAAACAATTGTTATTTTAAGTATTGTTGTTAAAGAATACCGGTACTTTCCCTCCATCTATGAATTAATTTCATGAAGAAATTGATTAATTTTTCATAGTCACCTAAACATTTCCTGTCATTTTAAGCAACTATTGATACTGTAAGCACTTGGAATATAGTATTAGATTTTATCAATAACTGGTCCATCTTTTATTTTTATAATGGTTATACAATTTGAAAAAGAATAGTATTTTCCTAGAGAAGGAAGGACAGCATGCCGTGCATGAATTTACCCGGTCGAGCTAGGGACTGCCAAGTAATCCTGAGGTGGTCCAGGCGAAGAGCCCTGCGGTGGCCAAATCTTTGACATTTGGATATTTAGACAATAATTTTAATATTTTATGGACATTCTGACGAATAGTGCTATACAAATTTGAAGAACATATAATTTTTTATAAGAACAGAGATATTAGTTATTATGTAGAGAAAGGTTTCTGTATATGGCTTTACATTACTTGAATGAACTCCTAAAAGCAGAAAAAATAGAAATTACTAAACTTTGATACTCACAAGTTTACATATTGTAAATCCATGACATTTAAAAAAAAAATGCAGTGATTTCCAAGAAAAAGTGGAATCCCAAGAAAACAATTGACATAAAACTTGAATTGAAAGGCATGCCTTTTGTAAGCCATCAGTCACATCTACATCTTGATCCTTTTAAAATATTTTTGTTCTTAAAAAGATAATATTTTACTTATTTACTGTCTTTCAGATTAGTTTCAAGATTTTCAAGAAAGCGATCATTCAAAACAACTTTCAAATCACCAGTCAGTATTATTGAAGTAACTTTCTAGATTTAATAATAGGCATATGAATATCGGAATTATCAGCATGAAGCATCGTCATCACTGTCATTGTAATAATCATCATCATCATCATCATCATAAATCATCAATTTGTTATCATCATTACCACCTTCATCATCATTGTCACGTAAACATCATAATCATTACCACCATCATCATCATCTACTACATATCATCATCATCAACAACAACTACAACATTGATGTTACTGGAGTTCATTTTAAATTCCTCTCATGACCTAACATCCCACTTTTCAATTTGCTATTAGTTGCTGTTGAATGAAGAAGAAATGCTGCAAATGTAAATAATAAATATAAATGTATTTTGTACATTATGAAATAACAAGATCAACAAAGATCTATACTCACAGTGATTCCCATTAACCAACTGCACTAATACAGCTCCTCTTTTAAATAATAAAATAATTCAATATTCAAATTTGATTTGCAGATGAAAGAGGTTGACAGTGGTACCACAAAAGAGGAGGAATCAGATGATGTGCAACAAGAGATAACAAATCTTAAAAAACAAGTTCAGTTGATGAAGGAAGAAGAGGATGGACTGAGAAAATGGTAGGCTATTCTAAAATGGTAGTTACAAAACGTATGTAAAATATATTTATATCATTTTTGTATTAAGAATGCTGGCATAATTAGCTATAAACTATTCCAAAACCTGCAGCAATGACCAACTAATTCAGGGGCCACTCCCCCCCCCCCCATTAGTCTTTAGGTCACTGTGTGACCTTCCATGATCATTAAAGCTTCAAATTGATTTGACCCACATTGTGAGCTATCTTCTCAGAGGATTTTTTTACAACAATTTGTTTCATAGTGGGTACAAGGAAGAAGAGCTACAAATGCACATTGAGAAGCTTCATGAATATAATGAGCTAAAGGACACTGGACAGATGCTGATTGGAAAGATAGGTAAGATAGATATGCTGCTGTATGTTTATTGGTAATGGTGATTCAATTTCCATACTTAATTGGCAGTATTGTATACTTTAATACAGAGAGGCCTAATACCTTTACTCATAAACGTTGTTGGCAATACAGTAGTAAGGCAATTCCAGTAAATAACCCATCATTTTAAAGCTTACAGGTATAATGTAGAGAATACAAATAATATAATAAAAAGACAATTTTCGTTTTTTGGTCAGTTATGCTGCTTTTGGGGTGGCAAGCCTCATTTTTGTATTAAAAGGATGTATTTATGACTACTAAATATAATGTACAGTAAATGATAATGAAATATTGGGCATGTAGAAAAAAAAGCAAGTAGATGATTAGTAGTAGTAAAAGTAGGAACAAAACAAAAAAAAACAAAAGCTATCTTCATTGATGAAATGACACTGATACCGATGATATGAAAGATGAAAGATGAATACAATGATACTGTAATGAGTATAGCCCTGCTCATATTAGTTTTCCTAATGATCTTTACCCAGCCCTTCATCAATCCTTATCAATTTTGCTGCCAGATCACAGATGAAGTTTACTCAGTGTCAAAAATCATGGTGTTACTCTAGCAACCAATTTTAAATTCTAACACCATAGTCAACATAATTACATCTCTAAGTAAAAATATTTGTTTATGTCGCTCACGTCGTACACTTGCCAATTACAGGGAACTTATGATGACAGTGATGATGATGATGACATTTTTGATGATGTTGGTTTTTTGGTATCAAAAATAATCATTTTATGAAGCAAAAATAGGGGGATTTTGCAACCTTACGAAAACGATAATGAATACATCATTATCATTATTGTCATTCTTGCCTCAAACATTCTTGGCAGTACACTGTACAAGGTTAATATGGTCCTTAATTTCATGCAAAAGGCACGAATCACATACGCTGTGACAAATATGCTACTGATGGGTAAGGAGTGTCTAAAAATGTGATAAACGTAACCATATTCGTTATCGTTTTCGTAAGCTTGCGAAAACTCCCTATATTATCAAATCTCAATTTGCACAACGTTAAATAGTTCATTTATACAGAAAACAACTATTAAACATTAGATATAAACAAAAGTGAATTGCATTATGGTTTTTTATCATCTGATTATTGAGATGTTAAAGACATTAGTTCTATGTGCAATATGACCCATTTGCGTTAAAGAACACAGTACACTGTGTCTCCCGGTGAACTGCCCAATTCACCACCAGAAAGAACCCACTGAAATAAGTCATTAGACTTTCAAGGGTTTACCTTGGTGTATTTCCAAATCCAGAGTAATGATTTTAATGGCGATATTCATTTTGATCGTGGTACAGTAAATGATTTTTATGGTTATGAAGTTATTGGTTGTAGCTGAAATACTGCCGACGAAGGTATACGGGGGTTATATTATTTCTTTTTGCATTTTCAGCTACACTTGAGGGTAGAACGACCAAGGAAATGTATGCACAGTTTGGCCTGAACTTGGAAGACTAAACCAACAACAACCATCAGGATACAGCTTGTGAGCAATGCATTGATAACTTTATTAAGATTATGGAAATATATTTTTCATCATAAAGGACCTACTTAAAATCTCTTAATATAATCATTTGTTGCACACAATTTCCAAAATTTTGTTCCATTATAAAGCCGGACACTTATTGCTGACGAATCCAACTCCATTCCCACTGCGCGCTAGACAATGCAAATCCGTCTTCTGATTGTTGGTAGCAGTCTGAATGGATCCTCGTTAAAAACGATCCGTTGCACGCATGTCGTACCGTTGTATTCTACATAGAATTGTGTCAGCCTATGACCGTCGGGCATAGTGAATGCCCAGCTTAAGAGAATAAGGGTTCAATTGAATATTATGCATTAAAATATATCTAATTAATCCTTTTATGTATTTGTTAAAACATAAAAAATACATGTGAATATTATACCTTTAAAATAAAGATTAAAATGAGAAAATATTCAGAGGTGTGACAAAGAGGGTTGATTCCCCTGTTAAGGTTCCCATGGCGGCATAGGGTCTCGCTGGGCCCTAATTAGATGTGGTGAAGTCCACAGCCACTTCAGCATTTTTTTCAACATTTTAAGGGCATATTTTGATGTTTTTACAAGTTCTGCGTGAATGCCAATTAATATTTGAGGACCTCTTAAGGCCCAGGACCCCCGGCTTTAACCTGTTAAAGCTCATATGTGTTTGAAAATATGCATGCATATATTTTCCTTAATTTATTCCAATAGCTTAGTATCCTTACATTAATTCTATTGATCAGCAAAAACTTGTTTTTATGCGTCTCATAGTGGATGACTTACTGTACAGTAAGTGTTCTTTTTAAAATGAGCAAATCATAGTTTTACTTTATGTTGCTCTCCTTTGTTTAAATGCACAGGTAGATTTCTTTCAAGTTGATATCCTATTTTTGTGCAATAAGTATGTCTTATTAATCTGTAGTGTTTTTTGGGAATGTCAAAGTTAGGAGTGAGAGTGGAACACTGGCGTATAGAAATATCTTTCAGAATGGTAAGAGGTTTAGAAATTCTTGAGGCTAGGACATGGTGGCTGGATTGCAGATTATGTAATTAAATCATAATCACAAGATTTAAAAATAATTATAAAGATTTACAGCTAATTAACATATCAGTGTTAATTCTGTCAGTATTTTTTCCAGAAATAAATAAGAATGATTTTAATTTTTTTGTGTTTTTGTTTTGTACTTTGTTTCACCGACCAATGCTTGCTGTCTTTAAGTAACTTTAAATGTATTTCTACAACAAAACCAAATACATTTCTCAGACTATAAACATTTCATGTTGCTTTCCTGGAGATAGCATGGAGATACTGTTATGGTCTTCAATAATAAGAACTCTACAAACACTTTTGTCTACGATATATATTTATTAATATTATTCTACTCTAATTGTTAAAAATAGCACATTAGTATAGCAATCAAACCTCACACCAATAATACACACAGTCTCTTAAATATTTGCAAAAACATATTCATCAAAGTAATATAATATTAAATATAAGAAGGTGGTTGGAGTCAATATGACAAAATATTCCATTATTCCCATTCCGGGTGGATAGTGAAGTGCCGTGCCACTGGCCGGTGTGGGCGAGTGAACATTCCGATAGTGTTTGATACTGGTGGCTTGTGTGCAAAGACCGGCAAATGATGCCATGTCTTGTGTTCCTCTTTGTTAGCTCGTGTTCTTGGTGATAAGAGACGGATGCGAGGTTGCCGGCGGGTGAAATGGCCAAGAGTTGTGTCCTTCGGAACGGAGATAGTGGCTCTTTTACCGCTGGAGGCAAAGTTAAAAAAAATAGTGTCATTAGTATTTAATCAAACTAAAATGTCTTTATTTTCTATTATTATATATTTATTTGACTTGTACTTAGCAGCAGTTGCATACATAAAAAAGGAGTCTTAATACAAAGCTAATCTGATGATGCTTGTTGAGTGAGACACTTGATGCTCTAAATTCATGTCTCTTGGGGTGTCTTGAGTGGTGTGCTGATCAATTGGAACTCTTGATCGTCTATAGCCGTATCTTTTGGGTTATGGTGAGTGGAGTGGGAACCTTGATATAGTCATGTCTCTTAAGGCCAACTCAGCATCATACGAAGCAGCCCTACGCGATTCATTGTCGGAGAAGGTCTTAATCCGTTGTGAGAAATATTAAACATGCTTAAACTACAACGCGATTGCCCCCGAATGAAACCACCGCATCTGCATTTAACTCACACAGACCCGACGCGACAACAAATCACGTTGGGCTGCGTCGTACGACGCTGTCTAAATTGGCCTTTATGAGGTGTGGAGAGTAGATTTAGAACCCCTATTTGGCTGCTCTACAGCCAATTATCTCAGCTGTGGAGTGCAAATCATTTTATATCCTCTTAAAATATCAGATGTGGAAAGGAAGTGCTGATCATTTTTCACCCCCAGATCTATAACCATTCTATCTTCTTGGATAGCTGGTCATTTGGTACCATTGATACTAGAACCAAGTCTATAGATGAGGTTGAGGATTAAGAGAACTGATCTTTAGGACCATTACTGGTACTTGTAGCCGTCTGATTTCAGACATTCGGCAGCCATTGCCATTATGTTGGCGTTAAAAAGACTGCATATTCTGATGAGGGACCTGTGTACAAACAATTAATACCAAACACAAAAAACATGGAAAACTGAATGCTATTGCTGATTGCCATTGCTGTATCATGCTTTCTGTAACAACTCTCTGTAAAAGGCTTTAAGGAGACAAGAGATGTTATTTGGGACCATCAGTTTTATAGTTAGACTTGGGAGGGAGCAGTAGTGTGTTGGGGTTTTTTTTTTACTTTATTGTAAGAAAAATCATCACATTGAACCCAGGACATTGCGATTGGAGGACAAATATCTACAGTATACCACACACCCACAGCTTGAAGTGACTGGTAAGTCAACTACTGGGCTTCCTCTCCATTTGGAGTTCTTTTCTAAATGAATACAAAATGTTTTCTTATAGTTTGGTAAATCATTAACTCAAATTAATGTATGCTTACGTGTTGAGGGCTTCTAAGACTTGTTTCAGTCTGCTACCATCACAGACATTGCATGCTTCATTGGTTTTGCCGTCCTTAACTCCCATTAGCTTGCTTCCAGCAAGGGAACTAAAGAATTCAATTGCAACTGATCGATCTAAGGCAAGCAGAATAAAAGAAAAAACTTAATAAAGTAAATAATGAGAGATTAAACAATGCAAGTTTAATACTTCAGCAGCCACTCCATGAGTGCATACCTCCTCCCTTGGCTGAATACCTACCAGAACAATATGCAGGCAATTCCATCATTCTCATGGTTAGTTCTAGGAAAAAAAAGTTCTTTTCTTTCCAAAACTTAATTATTATTTTTTTTATTAGATTATTATGTACCATTCCACTTGATTGTATGATGATCCATTCCTTCATTTTTGCGTAATCTTGCTAAATATATATTCCAGACAGAAAGACGGGTGGATACATAACCTCCTTTCAGAGGTAAAAACATACTGTAAGCTATGTAGATGAATAAAGTCTCCTTGTATACTGTAGGGTCATGTAATAGTTCCTGACTTACCCTTCTCACTTGCTGTCTCCAACCATTTCTCTACAGCTTTCTTAGCATCTGGCTGCAGGGCCTTACTGAGGGTCTTATCCATGTAATGGTTATCAACATCCTTCATCATCCTACCCAGGACAGCTTTGTCCTTCTCACTAGCAGAATGGATCCACTTCTGAGCGGCAGGCATTGCTTTTGGTTTTAATGAGCGATTCATGCTCTACAGTAGTATATACAAGGAATTTGTAAATTGATTTTTGAAAATACTTATGGGCATTAAATTCCTTATTAGCCTGTGTAAAGATTCATTTTATTCATTGTCATAAACAGGAGATTATAAACACAAAAATAATATGCGACAAATTCCACATTAAAATTATGATACATCTGGCAGTCAGATAATAACATGAGTTGCATTAATATATCGTAATATGCTGGCCATAAAACAGCTACAATAAATTAAAATTTATTTCATTTAATTGTTAAAAGTGATAGTACGACAAAGGTTTATATTATATTTTCAATGGTGGTTTGTTGTTTTAGATTTCAAACCAATTATCACGACAGTATTTAAATCTATTTTTTGCTTTAAAAGGGGATGTAAACATACTGTATCTGACACAGGCCTTTCCAAGCTATGCCAGTTGTTAGCAACCAGGGAAACCTACAAGATTCAATTTGTGAACTGTACTTACATTTGAATGAGCTGACTGGTGGATTTTAGCAGCTGAGTTGGGTGGTACAACAGGTAATTTGGGAACTAAAAATAATGAAATGATAATATACAGAGTCATTATCAATGATAAAGATGGATTGTTTGTAATGAGCTACACAAATTGAAAAACAATTTAAGTAAGTTATTAACTTTCAATTACAAATTTGAATGAAGAAAAATTTCTCCAATTATTAACAGTTAAAATAATAACTTTTCTGTATTCCTTTGAATCGTTCCAATCCAATATCCAACTTATAAGGCGCATTATACTAGATCCCTCTGTGAACACTATTTTTTTCTGTGTATCTGTGGTAGTTTTTGTTAAAGTATAAACTTAAAAACAATAGCTTAGCTTACGTGATTTTGAAACTGATCGCTTCATTTCATCTTCAATTTCCTTTTCCCTCATGTGTTTAAACATGTGATATGGTGGGCTGTGGTGAGTGGTTGAGGAGCGAGCCATTGCAGGACGATCCAGCGATAGTTGCATTTGCTTGAAGGCAGAGATACCATCAAGTACATCGTGGTGGGGACTAATACCTAAAACACAAAATTCAATTCATTATTCGATGTAAGTATTGTAACCAGTGGTGGATTAAAGAGGGGCCCAGCAGGTCAAGACATCCTAAATTTCGAAAATTTTTTAAAAAATGGAGAAAAAAAATAAATTTATAAATATTTAAAGTCTGGAAATGCCATTTCCGGCCATCTAGAGGCCATAATCATAATTTTTTTTACTTGGACCCAACTATGGTGGGGCTGAGGTGGGTGGACTCTCTCTATCTGTGAAAGTCCAACCAGGGAGATCTCCCTGGTCCAACCCTGGGCCCCCTCTATTTTGAATTCCTGAACACAAATTATTTGGCCTTATAATGCACTCACAAACAGTTTACAACCTTTATCGCCCACACTGTAGGCTATAATGGTTGTAAATATTACACTAATTTGCATAGCTAAATAAATGGTTTAGTCTAGCCATATTATTTTCTAAAGTACGTAGTAACGTATACGCTACGGTACACACATTGCCACTGATGGTAGGTTTCAAATTATACCAACAGTTTACTTTAAGCCTATTGCATTTGCATTAAATAGTCTGCTGTATAATTTGTTTAGGTGTTGTCTTGTTGACTGAGTTATTTTGGTTGATATACTAGACATGTTTTAGTTTCTGTGTTGTCTGAATGCAAATTGAGCTGTAAGTTTGTGGTTAAGATGTTTTTAAAATCTAGCTTCTAATGAGTACAGTCTCCCAAAGTCGGCGCGGCTGCCCACAAACTAGTAAATGATCCTCCTAAAAACCAACTCGTCTCCACAAATTCATGTTTGATGTTTTTATTACTATAATATTAATTTTGTATATCATGTTAGCTGGCCATGCAGCAAAATAAAATATAATTTTGTACACATAATTATTTGTACTTTATTTTGTTTGATGGGTTTTGGACAGCCACATAGAAAGTGATTAATTTTTGCTATTGGCAACCCAGTGTGGGGTGGATGCAGGATCACCCTATCTGGGCAGGAAAAGTGATGAGGGAGAGAGGCTTTTTTTTTTTTTTTATTTTGCTAAAGCCAAATATCACCCTTGGGTTGTTTGCTGGTGCATTGATATTCAAAGTAAAACATGATTTAGATAATGCAAACAATATTTACTTAACTATTTAATAAAATAAATAATAAATGAAAAAAAAAATAAATAAAATTAAAAAAAAAAAAAAAAAATTTTCAGAAAATCTTTTTTTCCAGTACCATAGAAGGCATGCGCGCGAGGGTGATAAACTAATAATTTTTTTTATTGGGCCTTAATATGTACTTTAAAAATCTACTGCTTCTTATTTTCAGAATGATAAAAGTAATACAATACAACAATTATTTTTCTTGATATACTATATAATTAAGGGGGATGTGATCACATCATCTGAAAATTTTTTTTAATAGTCTTGCTTTGTGTATTTTTTTTTTTTTATATATATATTGTATCTTATATCAAGTGATGAAATGAATGAATGAAATGAAATAGGATAAGTTAAGAAAGTTCATTAAACTAGACCTCCTGGATGTTACTTATGCCAACTTCGGACAACTGCAAACAAGACTTGTGAAAAATAAGATGATGTTACAAAAGGAAAGTTGAAATACAAAACTAGGGAACACATGTTAGTAGAATTATTTTTGAAATGAGACATGCACTTTTAAAAGGTGAATATATATTTTTTTTTAGTTTACCAAATTTAAGAAGGGTGATGTATCCAGTGAAGCTAGTGATTTGACTCTGCTGACCCTCGTTACTCTATAACCACAAGTCTGTTTTTGATGTTAATACAAATCTTGATTAATTTTTCATATAATAATAATAATAATAGTGTAGATTTATATAGCGCACATATCCATCTAATGTAAGATGCTCAGGTGGCTTGATATGTGGACTAGGAACTCGATCAATTACTTTCTTCGCCCCTAAGGGTCCCTTTATGTCTGTGCTACCCGGTAACCCGGTACCAGAAACTCTCGTCGTCTACTACAGGGGCTGTCTGTTCCAGTACACCGGGGTATCCCCCTACTCGTCTCGAGGGATGTACTGGGTTCTTTATAGTGCACACGAGCCATTGTATACACTGGGCCTACAGTTTATAGTCCTTATCCGAGAAGACTTGTTCTACCACCAGAACCATAGGCGAACATGCCGGTCGAACCAACGCAGATATTATGGCTATAGCTTGCGGTGCCCCTGCTAACTGCTCGGCCATTCGACTCACCATGTATAGATTAATCCCACGCCCCTAGACTATCGAAAGAGCAGCCACTACAATTTGATGGAAGGTAAATCACTATAGAATCAAAGTGTTATTTTTATTTATTTATTTATTTATTCATTCATTCAAATTCTTTTATTAGTTCCTTTTTCTGAAGCATTAAAAACTTAAAATTAAATATAGGTGATTAAGAATATACAGTATCTTGTATTAAAAGAATCAATTTTCTTTCAAAAATTATATTTTATTAATTATTTTTATTAATTTTGTGTTTATTTTATATTTTTTTATACTTAAATTGATTTTTTTATTTTTTTTATTTCATGAGTTTAACCCTTCCAATTGTAAAGAGCTACAGATATTACAAACGATAACACTGAATGTAATGTACTCAAGGGTTACAACAGATACTTAGCATTCAATACTATGTAATTTAGCTTTATTTGTACAGTTCCATATCCCATATAATTCTCCTGCATCACTCAGTGCAAACAAGCACACTCATTAGCAATTGTAATTTTTGTTTTGTTAATTGAGACAACATGGTTTTCATGATGAAGGACTGTTTAATGATTGCTGTTATATTTGTTCATATCTTGTGCAAGTAGATTAAAAATTCAAAATCCAATGTTGACATTGTATACTAATGTTTCTACTGTGTATTGTATGCATCATAATAATAACCATCTCTTTTATATTGTACTCGGTGTCTCAATCCATTAAGCTACGGCGGCGTAAACATTAGCAAGGGAGCTGGCTCTGTTTACATAACATTTATCATAGTTGTTAAAATATTTTCTTCTAAAAATGCAAATTCCCAGCCTTGTTTCATATTGTTGACTGGTGGTGCCATGGATACATCTTGATGTTTCTCTTATCCTAATTTCTTCATCTCTTACTTTGGCTGTGTCTACTTAAAAGCATGTTTGCAAGTGAATTGCACGTTTGGGGTTCAGAATCTGCATTCAAAGATAAATGTGAGTATACAATGATCTTTCAGTTTAGATTTCCCAACTGTTGGAAACAAGTACTGTAATATTTGTTGATGATTTGCATTGTATTGTAAACATCATGTAGACATTTAGTTATGATGTTTAACTTATTCTTTCATTACAAATATATTTAGATGTGTAAATTCTTACTATGAACAACTGATTAATGTACCTCTTTCCACCCACAAGTAGGCATATGTAAATCCTGGTAGGATTTAAATTGATTATAAATTAATTAGTTTGTATAATATTTACAGGGACCGGAGGACTAGGAGGCTGGCATATATTTTTTTATTTATTCAGTTTGCAATATAAATACGTTATAACTTCTAACAAATATCCCTGGGTTACTATTCTTTGATTATTTTTAGGGTGGATTACTATTAGAGTATGGATTACCAAATAGAGTAGTGAGATTACTAAGCTTAATGTAGGGACTTCAAAATAGTATCGTAAGCATTTATAATGCTATACTTAAATATCCTTATTTTGAATTAAAATTGGAACAATGCTCTGCATTAAGGAAAACTACAAAGGAGTAAATTCAAGGAAAGGATCATCAACGGCGCAATCACATTTGAAGAATGCCTATTTTAAGGAATAAATTGTGTTTAATGTGACAAAAATGTTGATTTGAATGTAATTTTGTCTATGGTTTTGGTGACACTTTGGGTTATTATTATAGATTACTTTTAGTAAGGATTACTATTATAAAGGGTGAGGGATGTGGTTACTAATAGAGTAGTGGGTTATTATTAGAAGATTTATGGTATATACAATACAGAAAACATCAAAATTAATTATTTATAAGAAGTTGGCATCTTGAGTATGATTAATTCTGTACCCTATAAGCAGTGAAAATTGGCATTATGCACAACTTACATAGGAGTTTTTAGAAAATGACACCAAAAAATATTTAAGAAAAAACTAAAAAAATAACTTTGATTAATTGAATTGACTATTTGAAATAATCACATAAGTTATGAAATTTCAATAATAAGTCACATTAGTAAAGATACAAAGACTATAAAGTCCAACTAAATGTCAGTTAGCTGATGAAGACGCTTTCTTAATCTTTCAAATTTTCATTTGAAAAGCTAATAGCAAATTATTTAAATGTTCTTAACAGTTCAATAATATTATTTAAATTTTCAATTTTATTAAAAATATGCAGCAGTCATTAAAATACAGTATGTTATGAATGTTTCATCAAGGTTTGTGGGGTGATGCATTGAAGAAAATCTTCTGATTTATATAAATTATATATTTTGTTGAAAAGACCAATCACAAGACAATATAAGTAGTTCAGTAAAATATTGTCTTGAGTTTAACAGCCTAGCACAAACAAATTAATGAAAAAGGGTGATAGGTGGATAAGAGATTTCAACAAAGTAGAGTAAAAGATTTTAAGGTAAACATTACAATTGTTATATACACTGCATGAATGCCTATGAAGGCTGATGATGCCTACCTCATTGTTGTCATTGTGATCAATTAATTAATAATTAATCACATGAATTATAAATTGTCTATTCAGTTTTTAGATAATGTAAACTTTAACGTGTCTAGCTATAGGAATTACTTAGAATAAAATACCAAGATAATCAAAATTGCAATACTGTACTCCAGCAGTGGGTCTGATATGTCCAACAGGGGGTCCTAACAAAAGGTCTGACGAAAGCTTTGGTATGTGTCCCGGAATAAAAAAAAATCCCTTGTAGGGTCAAGGGGAAAGTATTTATGGCTTAAATAATATGGTCCAAATTGTGCTTTTAGACCACACTTTTAGGGATTGGTAATCGAAATAATGTTATTTGCTATAGGCAAACTATTATATTTTTATTTTTGGTCCGACGACCTTGTCTTGGCGTCGGACTACTGGGGGAGGGGGGTCCAGGCCTGTCCGACCACCACTGCTGTACTCTCTAAGGTGTTAAGACATAAATTCTATCCAAATCTACATTGAAATGCAAAACAGTGAACAAAGCATTCTTTTGTATAAATATGAAAAATGTTTACTTTTTCTGGCTCCATTGATGTCTTCGTAAAAATGTTGGTTGCTGTCGTTGATCAGCTTTTGCTTCTGCTGTACATAGCTCGGCTCACTGACTATCAGCCGAGTTGGCACTTTCCATGTCATGAACATCTTTAAAAAAAAACCACATTGATTAATACCATCGAGATAAGCAGGCGTCACACCATTATAAAACACAGGGAAGCTATGTGACTAATGCAGTGGTGATGCAATTATGTGGGAGAGATGCAATTATGTGGGGGAGATGCAATTATGTGGGGGA